TATTCAAACTGCCAATACTGATTTGAGAATGGTAGACTAGTGTGATGCTTAACTCTCATTAAATGCGGCACAGCCTGGCTTCAGTTCCCATTTGACGTTTGCAGCTGGAGGCTGAGTGTAGTCTTTCAGCTTCCAATGCTATTTTTTTTTTTCTTATTCCTTCCATATGTAAATAGCAATTATATGGGTTCTGTTCTCTTGTTTTTCCTTTTCAATTTGATTGTAGAACCCTTTTAAGAGGCAGTTGAAGGAAAAAGGTCTCCTAGGGAGTCATCTACCAAAATGACTTGGTTATTTGGTATGATTAAAGACAGCTGAAATAGGACTGAAGCACATTTTGCAAGACAAAAGTGGTACTGTGGCTAGTGGAAGAATTTTGAAGAACTGTCAGTCCTAAATTTGTCTCCTTTGGAAATTACAAGTCCATGATTAATTACTTAAATTAGTAACAAAACATTCTTGGATTAATTTATTGCACCAAGATCTGATATAGTGACATATGCAAAATCATATCTAGTTGACTAGGGAGTCAACTTCACCACTTGTCAGCTTAACTGTGGCAATTCAGTATATGTGGTGTGAAGTTGCCAGCATTAGAGAAATGTCAGTTCTGTCATAAGACTGTCCTGCTGTCGCACACTGGGTGTCTATACAGAAATGATGATTAAGCTTCATCTATGTGGAGGCTAGTCTGAGAACGTCTCTTCCAGAAACCACTTGAGAACTCCCCACCACATGGTCCAACTCTTCAGATTTATTGACCTTTTTTTCTTAAACAGCTAAACATACAGCAAAGTGTGTGGGGGATTATGCACACACACATTAGTGTTTTGGTTTTTTTTTTTTTAAGAAAGGAAACCTTGCTTTGTCTGATCAACATACTTGACTGCATGTGCTGCTTTTGTGGGCGAAAGATGTTAGCTGTGTTGTTTAATGATGATTACTACAAGCCTAGTTTAAGAGCTTGCATAGACTAGAATTGCTGGAACTCTTCAGCCATTGTACAGACTGGCATGTACTCAGTCTTTGTCAGGTGTAAATTCAGCACATGCAAGTGATGCAGTTGCTAACCTTCAGCATGCCTGCTGCTAGATACTTTTCACTTACCTGATGCTTGCCTAGAGTCTAAAATCTGTATGTGGTTCTGTTTTCAAATATTCTAGCCTACGATGTAACCTAGGAGTCAACATTAACACCTAAATCATACCTGATTTCATCTGCTCAGTAGCTGTGTTTTCATGCTCAGAATCTCTCACTGTCCTTATTTCCCTCAAAGTAGGCAGTTAAGTGGGAAACTTGGGAGTCTGGTGTCTGCTTATTTTTACCAAAGAAATCTTTGTCATTTCATAGAAATGTTCATTGTTTGATTTAAGTACACTTTTATGTGTTTCTAAACCAGTGTAAAGATGAGAAGGGACATCAAGAAGTGATCTGCTCTATCCACCAGCCTAAGGACAGGCTTATCTATCTACATCTGTGTTAATCTTGATACATACCAATATTTTCTCTTAAAACCTCTATAATTAAGATTCTGAAATATCCCTGGTCAACGCCACTTGTGATGCTTAGCTATCCTTACTACTAAAAAGTGTTTGATAAGGTGGAGTATCAAAATTTTGGTATTTTTAGTACCTACTATGAATTTCCCTTAAGGTTATTAGTTGTCCTATCCACTGTGGACATGAAAATTGCTCTCATTTTATGCCGTAACCTTTCACACATTTGATGAGTACAAAACACTGCACCATTATATCTCTCTTCCATTTTTTCCCTTTCATCAGATAAACTAGTAAAATTGAATTCTTTTTCTTTTTTCTTTTTTTTTGTTAGCTAGAAACCATGATCACCACTCCTGGTTTGTTGGTTTTTTTTTTTTTTTTCCCCCCCCCCCCCATTTTTCTCAGAACTTTCTTGAAGGATAGAGCCCAAAACTATACACAGTACTGCTGGGTTTCTTTTGTAGAGTTGCTTTATAATACTGTTTACATGGAAAGGATCAGATATCACAGTCAACTTGTCTAATAATTCCTCTAGAGCCTGTGGGACTCTATGCCTCTGCTGAACTTTGTTCCAGTCTCAAAACAAGCTGTGCAGTGACACCATCTGGTTTATTTTTGCCTATATAATTCTTCCTTATTTAAATTGCTGTTTCAACCTAATTCAGTTTAATCTGCTTTATAAAAACCCTCTTCTTTGCTTGTAATAGCTTTGTTTGTGTCCTTATTTGGTGCTGCCCACATGGGACTTAGCCTGTTTTCGGAAACAGAATTGATATTTGTCCCACAAGAAAAGTTTGTGGGGAGGGGGCAATATAAGTTATCAGGCTAACTAATTTTGAAAATGCAGACGAGCTTTTTGGTACAGAAGATCATCAGTTCTGAAATAGCTGCAAACTTTGAAGCTAAACATGGGTTGAGAGCAGTCATTCTGAGTTTAACATAATTAACTTAATCAGATAGTTTAAGAGAATATTTCTGCTGCTTAAGTTTGAAATTATGAATAAAAGAACCATGACAAGGATTTTTTTCCTTTTTGTTATGATTCACTTAGAGATTCTCCATGATTATGGTTTGTTTAGAAAAGCCTTGAAAAGAACTCATTAATGCAGTAAAGATAAAGGAAAAATCAGAGGCAGGGTAGCTCTCTCCTCCTTTTTGGTGTTCCAGCATGGGCAATTAGAAATGGGTAAGCTCTTACTGAATTAGGAATTAGTAAGCTTCAATTGCTTGTATTGTCTGTGACTACCATGAAATACTACCTTCCTGAAATGCAAACTTGAAAATCTGATAACTCATTTCTTTTTTTCCTCTATAAACAAACACCTGTAGTATTTTCCTACCTAAGGTCATAATTTTCATATTGACGGTCTTTCTGGTAATGGGACATGAATTTGACCTGGCTTTGCAGCTTTTGATTATACAGCCTATGATTGGCTGAGAAGAAAAGTCACAGTTACCTCAGTCAAAACCAGTGAAGATTAAAGAAAGGGAAAAAGTTCAGGTTATTGTTTTTTCTTGAAGAGAAAACTTTGGTCATTCTCTGCTTTCTGTTGCAATACAAACATTCCAGGGAAAAAATCTCAGGAGGGATGGAACCGGTACAGTTCATGCAGTTGATAGGATAACTTTGCCTACATACCACTAAGACTACTCAATTTGAAAAGTCAGAAGACATGTTTGCTGCTAGAATTCACAATTATAGTAGCTGAAAAATTTTGTGACTTTGAAAAGTATAAACTAATTCTTGAATATAATCCAGAATTTAGCTGGGAAAAGGAACGATTTACATAGTTAAGTTAGTACTTTATGATACCTGCTTTATTGCTTTTAGCTACCAGTACTTGTAAAGGTACCAGAGTAGATTTAATTTTTACATAGCAGTTGGCAGGGCTGTGTTTTGCTAGAACAGAACTTTTGCTGATAAAGCTTCTCTGCTCAATAAGAGACTATCACTAGAGCTGTCTGTTGGGTTTTTTTTTTTCCAAGTTATTTGTTAATCAAAGATGTATTGTCTGACAAAAATCTAATTGTAGTTTTATGTTGAATGCAGCAAATGCTTTTGGACAAAAAAGGAACAAGAATATTTTTTCATTCTCTATTTCATTTTCAAGAGTGGAAAAAATTCTTCGAAGTATTTTGGTATTTTTAATTTCAAATCAACATTTTAAGAGCAAATTAAGTTATGTAAAATAAAACAAACATGAAAGTAAACCTGTTTGCAATAGTTCATTGCTCTTGGTGTGGTTTTGGTTTTGGTAGACTCAAGACTGTTTTGGTTTGTTTTGCATTGTTCTCTGCCTCCTTGCTTCCCCCCAAATTTACTCACTGAGCTTGAATGATCAGTGACTCATACTGCTCAAAGGCTGTTGTCTTATGCAAGCAGCTGCTTTCGTAAGGACTTCCTTGAAATTCAATTTTACCTTTTTTTCTTTGTCAGTAATGCAGATTAAGAAGTTGACAGGAATTATGGAGTTATATATAGTTTTACTAGCAAGAACTTATGTAGTTAGGCATGCTGACTTCAAGGAGGAAGTCAAGATTGGAAAAAAAAAGAAAAAGAAAATTTAAAAAATACCGTGACTAGGAGATGAAAAACATTTAATTGTTACTGCATTTGTGAAAATGGTAGCAATTTTATTATATGTAATATTTTTTCTCAAAGTGACTACAGTTGAATATGATTCACAGAAATGAGCTGTGGTGTTTTTTTTTTTTTTTCCCTTTTCTCTGCTAGTGGGCAGGAAAGCATCAAAGTGCAGGGAGTTTTTTATTATTGCATTTAAGTATGGTCTCTCTGAACAACCTGCCTGCCAGGTTTGTTATGGATCTTATTTAGATGGCACTGTTCGTTACCTTTGTTAATAAATATTGCCAAATAATTGCTTGAAATCTGTAGTTCAAGTTGCACTGATAGCTGGGCTGATTTAACAGTTCGACACTGCCAAACAAAAATCTTCCTCTTTTCTGCCTGTGTGCCTTCCACCTCCCCTTGTATAAGCTCCATTCAGAATGCTCTAAGATGCTGCATCTCACTAAACTATGAGAATACTAGACCAAAAAAAAGTTCTTTGTCAGGTTGTGGAGCTGGATCAGCTTAGCGCAAGGTCCAAAGAGCACCAAAAATGGCTTAATACTGGGAGGGATCATAGAACTGAAAGTTGGCGCATGGGGAGGGAGGGAGGGAGGAAGGGTTAGGATTTGAAGAGGATCTGATTCTTCATGCTTTGGTGGACGTGAGCTGTTAAATTGGCTCAACTGTATGTAATGCTGCTGTTTGAGAAGTTGAATTGTACAGTGTTTTTCAGGAGAAAATCGGTGAAAATTGTGGTAAATTCTTTCTGAGGCCATGTCATATGGCCCCCACCCCCCATCAAAAGTAAATGAATGATTTGAGTTGGTTTGTCCTCTTACAGACTACAAATACTTTCTTGTGATCCGTTTCTGTTATTTTATTTTATAGAAAATCTTGTCTTTTTTTTTTTTTTTTTTTTTGAAATGCAGACGCGAGAGCTACCAGCACACGGAAGATGACCTCGCCAAAACCCAAGAAAGGCACAGCAACCAGAAAGAGAGTCCAGAAGTAAATAATAGATGGAGCAACAAATTAAGCTGCTCTTTGGCTCATCTCTGGGGTTTTTTCAGTTAGTGTAGCACTGGAATCTTTTTCTTTCCTTTTTAAATGATGAATCCTGTAAAAACATGGACTGTTGTTTGTACCTGGTTTTGAAGAAGAAATGTTTTATTAAAATATTTGCATAATTTATGTATACTTTAATACTAATGCAAAATTTTGCCAACTTTGAAGTGAGGATGCATTTTATATACACAAATTCATGTCTTAAAGGCAAACTAAAAGTGCTTTTTTCTGCTTTATAATGTAGAAATAAAGCCTTATTTAGTTTCGTTATGGGTACTTTATAAGGAACGGCGGTGTTGCATCTGATTTTTAATTTTGAGTAAAGTCTCATTGGAGGTCACAGATGTACACAGAAATTAAGTCTGAAATGGTAGAGACTTATTTTTAAATATTTCTCAAGTGTTTGAAATAAAAAAAGAGAACATAAGACAAAAATCATATGCTTCCATTCTATTTTGTTGTAAAATGTGTCTAAACAATTCTTTGGAGGACAGGTCATGATTTTTAGGTGGGGGGTTTTTTTTGCATAGTATTTGTGTTTGTATCACTTCTCCAATTATTCAGTTTCTCTGGAAAGAGAGAGACCAGAATTTCAGACACAGGGTCCAGGGCAAAGAAAAGAACCAACCAAAACCAATACCCATTCTCATCCCCCCCTCAGGTTTTCTTTTTATATTAGTGAACAGGTTAGAAAAGTTATGAATAACTTTGTAAAGTATCTAGTTCCAGTGAAAGCTTGACTCACATGTACTTCTCATAACAAATTAATGGTTTACCCTTTTTTAGTAGTTGAGAAGCATGTAACCTTTCTTGAAAGTACTTCCTTGCTTGGCTTTGAGTCTTCTCTTCAGAGTTGTAAGTCAGAAAATACAGAGTTTAATTTCAGTGTGAAGTACCACTACTTTTCATTTAGACACTGCAAAAATACGTATCATTAGGGCATGAACATCATTCTTACCAGGAAGACTGCTTTATGAAGTTGGGCAAGCCAAAAGGAATCCATATGAGCCAATGAGCAGCGTATTTGTGTGGATGTCCAGTGCTCTGCTTGCTTGATTGCGTAATGTCTGAGTAGCTACTCACTGAAATAAATATGTTGTAGCTTAAAATATTGAATGAATGATGAGGTTATGTTTTGAAAACAAGGGAATCCATTGTTTTGAAATAAAACTGGAATAACATATTTAAAAGATCTAGTGCTTTCTCATTTCTGTTCTGACTGCTATACAGATTCATTTTCCTGGGTGTTAGCAAAGTGTGGCAGATGAGTTTAAGCATAGCATTCTCTTTGTTTCAGATGTAAAAATAGGACTGCTAAAGCCTGTCTCATACTTAAAACTCCTCAAATCAAACTATCATTTTAATGACTTCATTTAATCATTTTGTTCAAAAAGTCTGTTACACTATTCTGAAGAACTATTGTCAGGAAAGCATATTGTGTTCTCTTGCTTGTCTTGCTTACTGAATGTCATTCTTTGGTACTTTAGTTGTTTGACATTTTAATTTTTTTAGTAACTTATTTACTGGTAAACTTCCTTTCTTTACTTTCCAAGTTTTCAAGGAGCGTGTTTTCTTTTGACACTACCAAAGCCAAATGCGACAAACACAAACATTTCCATGTATTTGAAAAGAGTGTTTTGAGGTGCAGATTTCATAAGCCACCCCTACCTCTTCCCACCCCAAAAATGTCCTGGAAAAAGTTTGTACTGGCAAGTGTTCTGTGAAGTAAAAGGGTGCTTTCCGTTGTAGGTGAATGTTGTTTCAGGGCTTGCCTCTGCTCACAAGAGACTGTGCAAAACTAGTCTTCACAGGCAAGAATGTCTCTGGCTCACTGTAAACTGCAATGATGTTTGAAGTGTGGGGTGGTCAGGATGAGCCAAGTGGAAGGCTGTGATAATACCTGCAGTACCACTGTATGTGTTGCATACAGTATGTGCTTGCACGCTTGGGTGTTTGCTGTTTTGCAAAACAGTAATGGGGCAATACCGCACTCTGTAAGAGGCGAGGGTGTAGTAGGTTTTTGTTGACATCCCCATTCGAACGTAAAGCCTCTAACACAAAAGAAGCAAGCTGCCTTTAGACTGCATTTACTGCTCTTGATGACTCCAGTTGTGTGTAAATATTAGAAAACAGCAGGGTCCTGCATTCCAAGAATCACTTGAGCAGTGCCATGAAGACAAGTGTCCTTACTGGTATTGTAGTCATACTCCCAAGCTCTCCTGCTGTTTCTAATCTGTGCGCACAGCCGTGAAAAAACTGGACTGACATTTACAGGCACAGCAGGGAGACACTTGAGTAGGGAATGTTAAAGACTCCGCTACCTATGTTTCAAAGTGGCCACCATATATGATAAATCTTCACAGGAGAACTAGTCGGCACTTCAGCTGATGGTGTAATGAGGATATTGATAATGAAGCACAGAATGCTTCTTTTAGTGCTTGAACATTTTGCAGACAGATTGTTTATATTTTTTCCCCTAATCTAAAATATCTGGAGAGAGAATCGAATTCGGGATGGGTATAAGATATTTTTTAGATGATGCTGATTTGATAATTTTTACAGGAATATTTCCCAATAAATTCATACAAAATAATAACATAATTCCTGATATCTGTTGCAGCTAGCATTAAGAAGGGGGTCAGTTGCTTTCCTGAGTAGTTTGACAGACTTTACTCACTGTTTTGTCCCAGCGAGCTGCCAGATTTGGGATGCCATAATACCAGTAATGCAATTAGGTTTTCTGCACGTTGTCTGGTTGACTTCTCAGTTAAGAGTTTCTTTCCCTTTGGGAATAAGACTAGACAGACTGTCATTTGCTATTACTAATTCTGCTTAGCATTATCACTGGAGCTTTTTTGTAATTAGCTATCTTAGTTGGCTCTTAAATTTTAATAGCCAATTGAAGCTACATTTTAGCCAAGTTCCATATCTAAATTGCATTCAGTCCATTAACAAAGTTGGTTAAAAGGCTATTAAAACAAAAGCCAATATATGGTGGTTAGCACTTACGTGTTTGCAGCAGGAGCCATACCAGCCTCCAATGAATATTCTCAAGAAATGGCACTTCCTTCTAGCAAAGGAAGTGCACAAAGAATGACCAAAGTTTGTTTTGGGAACAAAGGCTGATTATGCAGAATACTTTTAGAAAAAAAAAAAAAAAAAATTGAAGTGTGTCTTTTCTGGAAGAAGGGGGGGGAGAGGGGGGGGGGGGAGATGCAGAAGGGGGCAATTAATGGTTCTGCTCAGATTTGACAGGTTCTGGAAAAGCCAAATAAATGAAGTGATGTTTTTCTCCATTTCAGCTGATCAAAATTATTAGCAAAACCATCTGAAGCACCTTCTGGTGGAATTGTCATCTTGCTGAGTTTAGTTTGTAAAACATCCTGCCAGACATTAAAAAAACTGTAAGCATGCCAGCACATAGGCTCAGAGCACCGCTTCTCTAATTGATAGACCCTATAATTTTCTTTTTTACTGAAGACCATGGCTGGATACCTCAGCCTCCCGAGTAATTTAACGTAGCATCAGTCTGAATTTTTTATCCCTAGTAGCACTTGTTTAAATTAGATTTTTCTCCTCTTTTCTTTCTTAAGGTGTAGACAGGAGATTAACAGCCTTTGGATCATCCTGTGACAAATAATGGCTTTCTCAGACTTCTCTGTTTGTAAAAAAAAAAAAAAAAAAAAAATCTTTACTGTTGTGAAGACATCAGATATTAATACTGCTACAGTTTTAATAGAGAGTCTACCAGTTGCTGATGAGTTGTTTCAAGGATGGTTTGCAGTGCCCTGTATGGGTGATGATAAAGTATCAGTAGCTTCATTGTAGGAGGTGTGAGGCAAACCCCGGATTATGTCTGAATAACCAGTATATATATGCTTTTACCAGCATATATAGTGAGACATCTAAATTAGAGTTTCCATAGTGCACCAGTTCCATTGTTAAACAAGACGTAGAGCTGGTGCTCATTGAACATCAGTTGGATCCCATAGTTTGTAGCTACACTGTAACATCAAACTGACTGGAAAAGCTCTGTGGCAATAAGTGCCAATTCCTTCACCTCCCACACTGTTTTGGGGGTGCTGGGGTTTTTGCAATAATGCAGTCCTCAAAGGGAGAAAGCATCTGTTTTGTCTGTCCAAGGATTGATATTTGTGACCTCCTTTCTCACAGGCAGGGAGAAAGCAGGCGTGGTGGGATCAACTTCTTTGGAAATTATCCTGGAGTCCTAGCTGGGGTCACATGGATAGCTTTATGCAACTACATGCTAACTCACATGCATGTCAGTTTTCTTCCCTGATATTTTCAAGATTGAGCATCTGAAGATTTAGGAATGTGATTCTATGAATTATTTGCTTCATTTTAGGCCTTCTTTATCTCTATGGATGATACCTCTATAGCAACAGTTTTGGGTTTGGGTTTTTTTTTTTTTTTTCCCCCCTTTCTTCCTGAAGGGATATGTAGAAAAGGGAATATACTGTTTCTGTGACCTGAGTTTTGCCTGGATGCAGAGTAAGCCACACAGCTCAGAAAAATGCAACAGCTCTAATTGGATGCTACAGGCTAGTTTTCTCTACACTGCCATGCCATGTTTTTAAACATGAAGTCACCAGCAGTGTTGCACTTGTACTTCTTTCTAGTGGTCTGTGTTTCATCTTATCCCAACCAAAACCTGTCTTCTTTCAGACTGGAGCATATTCTGCCCATGTAGGCTTCCAAGTCAGACTTTAAACATGGTTTTTAATTCCCTTGCCTTTAGGTCTACTGCACACAAATATGTGAAGTATTTTGAAATGGACCTCAAGTTCCACAACTGCCTAAGCTGCTGACAAGTGAATCCTGACAGCATTTTTTTCACCATTGTGAATGCTGCAACAAGCCAAAATTGAGGTTTTGCTTTTTCTCAGGGATACCACAAAGGGTAAAAGAGTTGTGGAGGAACTGTCA